TCTGGTGAGTGGTTAAAGAAAAACAACTGAAATTTTGTGTACGGATATACTATGGTTTTACCTATCTTTTGGTGCCTTATTTTACCACTTATAGGGAACGTCCTGTGGAGGATTCAGTAAAAAGTTTTAATGGAAGCAAATGGTAAATGATACATCATTTTAAAGGCCATTTTTTTCTGAGTAAGGAGCCACAAGTTTCATCTCAAAAGGACCACCCTAGCAAAAATGGCGACTGTTTGAAATTTAAAAAACCACTTATAGGGAACGGAACTTTTAAATTTCAAACAGTCGCCATTTTCGCTAGGGTGGTCCTTTTGAGATGAAACTTGTGGCTCCTTACTCAGAAAAAAATTGCCTTTAAAATGATGTATCATTTACCATATTAAAAACTTCTATTAAAACTTTTTACTGAATCCTCCACAGGACGTTCCCTATAAGTGGTAAAAATCTTCATAAGGCACCAAAAGATAGGTAAAACCATAGTATATCCGTACACAAAATATCAATTGTTTTTCTTTAACCACTCACCAGATATAATGTTGGTTCCAGACATTTTCAACACCCTGTATAAACCTTCGCAAATACAGTATCTGACAGTTTCAAGCCAAAACACATGCTTCGCAATTAAATGTCACCCGGTTCGTGTTAGTCCATAATATGTTAAATCCAATGATTAAACTAAAAAAGCTTCTTAGGCCTAGATCTCTGAGGCATATCCCTAAGGTAAGCCTATAGTTGAAAGTTACTTCCTACAATGGTTTAAAGTATTTAAAGTACTACCTCAACCTTACCATTTAACACTTTATTCGGGTTGACATTTTAATTATCAAGGTGCTCTTGTCCTTTTCGTGACACTGAGAAAAAAAGGACATAAATGCGTTACCAACAGACATACACACAAAAATACAGAACTTAATTAGAAAATTTGCTACGTTTTAAGCATTTGAAATTTGTATTAATGTCATCAAATTTTATTATACCAATCTATATTTACTTGGACCGAAGATGACCCGAAATGCTGTCGAAATGGCGTCTTACTATATGAAATGAAGTACTATAGACAATTTAGATTGGTAATTTATAATAAAAATTACCAAAATAGGCCACAAACTATTGATACATAAACAACGTAAATCATAAACAATTCATGATGGTTTGCTAAACAAATGTTTTACTTAAATGAGTTATCATTTTCTTAGCATAAACTAAAATTTTGAATCCAGACAGAAAAAGCAAAACTTATACAGTTAAGACATCAATTAAATTGAGTACGGCTATAATACGACTGTATAAATAAGGTGAACACCAACGATAACTAATTTGTAAATTACAGTGATGTTTTGGTACGTAAAAATGATTCTTGCTGCTACCAAAGGTTCTAAGGAAAAGAACCAGTACCAAAAACCAACGTTTACAGTTAAGAATTACATCCGACAAATTAAATGCGTTAATCAAGTCCCAAAGTTATTGATTTCTTGGTTTTGGATTTTCTCGTAAAAGATTATTGGCAATCAAAGTTATTTCCCATTAATCGCTTTATTCGTAAACAACTTTTAATGTAAAATTATTGGTGTCAGTTTGAAAAAAAATCAACCTCATACAAACAACTGTTTGTTATTTAATAGATTACGTAGGCCTATTTTCTCTAAACAATGATTCGTATATCTTTTAACATTAGAATGAAATGTGACAAAAATGACACAACACCGGGTTTTTGGACGATTGTAATATTTTATTTCTTAAGTAGGGAGGCCGTGTATTCTAGGGAAAATTACCGGTATCAAGGATCGTCGTCGAAAAGGTTGTTATGAATAATTGGGTAGGCGTAAGTACCCAAGAGATGGGCTATGAGCCTATTGGCTGTATGGTCCGGCGATTGCATCATACGGTGAGTAGGAAAAGAAAGTGACACATCGGAAAAGCAAGTTTAGCATAATCCATAAACCGTAAACCTCTGTTACAATCACCCACTGCAGTTGTGATTTTTTACTTTACACTTTACACAACCGCCATTGAAGCGCCGTCAATGAGTGGAATCCTTGTTAGTAAGCTATTGGCGACGATCATTAATAAATTCAAGTTTCCCAGCCCTATACAACACTGATTCAAGGTCTTCTTTCTGGTTATCAAAACTCAAGAACAATTTTACACACAAAGAATCTCTGGTTCCTGACCTGGATTATGCCTAGTTATTAATTATTTCATTTACGGTTACACTATATTATTCCACTTGCGATTAATTAAATCCGTTATGTAGGACAACGTTTTTAATGTCACTTGGATTTGATTTACCTTCAAAACGTGATCGGAAATGGTTGCGGTATTTGTAAACAACATTTGTAAACAACATTTGTAAACATATCAGTGACAGCTAGAAAAAATAATCTTGATCCGAACAGCTTTTCGTTATTTCATAGATCATTATGTGATAAAAATTGGACGAAAACTTGACAAAAATCGCACAAAACTGCATTTTTGAACGTCCGTAATTTTATTTACTAAGTAGTGAGGCCATGTTTTAATGACTAAAGACACTCTCGCCAATCCAGTGAATACATTAAAATGACTTGGATCTTTATAGGTACTCTCGTTTTCCTGGAGAAGATTGCGTAAAATGCCATCTTGAGTGTTACAGAAAGACAGACAGACAGAAATTTAGATGAGACTTGTTTCGGCTTCTTTAATGTATAAAACGTTAAAATAACCTACAAATTTATGATTCTGAGCAATGTACAGACAAAACTCAAATTTTATTTATATAGATTGCAGGAATCTTATGATTAACAAAGGAGAAGAATGGATTACAGTTTAGAACGAGCTGCATGACGATCCAACTAAGAGAATTGCTTAAATGAAAATCAAGAAAAACTGCGGTCAAGCACAGATGCCTGCACACCACAACCCATCTATCCAACCCAGCATAGCAAGTATAAAGATTTCAATGATCTTTGCAAGAAGCGAATCATTCCAGCGAGTTACCTTGAAGAATATAAAACCATGCCGTCAAGTTCCACAGTTCGAGATGAACTGCCCGAAACGGATGAGGAACACAACGCAGAACAGCCTTAATTTTCTTTTAACCATGGATTCTTTCTAGAACTAGCCTAGGCCTACTTATCTTATTTTAGACATTGTATGATATTTGTCAACAATTTAAAACATTCAGGTAGACCAGGTTATATCAACAAGTTGTGCTTAACAATAAAATATAATATTTAGATGACTAGGGCTGCATTTAAGTACTTTTTGTTGTTTATAAACTAATGTCCATGAATGAATTTTTGTATTACAGTATATTAAGAAATCTGAATTCCTTGACGTTTTATTCTGTTTAAATGACGTGTCACAACTTTTAATTTTGATGTAGTATGTAACAAGGTAGTATGTTTTTCATATAAACTATTTTATTTTTCTTTAATAAAAATGTTATTATCACAATTTTATTGTATTTATCATTGATTTTTGTTAGGTTATTACTTAAACGCTCCTAATAACAATAAATTATTCCTCGAATAAGTTAATTCATTTACATTTTCTTTTTTGGTAAAAAATGTTTACCCAATATTCAACTATTTGACAAAAGAACATTTTATTAAGTTTGCCAAAAAGGTGTAACCATCAACATTGTGGATTACTCCCTCTTAAATAACCACATCATAAGTCTTCCAAAAGGGCATAACCCCCAAAATGAGGGTTACACCCTTCTTCACTAGATGACATTATGTTTTGGCAAAACGATGTAATCCACACATGGGTTTAAAAGTTTAAAGTCTGTTAATTTATTTTTTATTCTATGAAAGGGAGGCATTATAAAACCTTTAGAGGAGATACCTAGGTTTCTTAATACAGTGATAACGCTAATCAAAGTTTAAAATATTGTCTTTTTTAATGAGAAAATAGGCAGGTCAAAAGTGTTTCCCCTCCCTTGTAAAATATCCACAATAATGTTTTCTGAAATCACAGAACGAAAGAAAAACACACAAAAGATATTTTATAGAAAACTAATAAAACACACTTAGCGTACGATATAGAACCCTGAGTTTGCCTAAAAGCTTCCTCCTCTATGAGTTAGTCCTTCGTTTTGGATTAGTTTCCTTTCTTCCTCCAGTAGATGGGATTTTTCTGAGTTTTTTTACGATACTCTATAAACTTCAATACTTTTCCCACCTCTGAAAGGTCAAGTCACTTTTTGTCTAAGCGTTTTGCTATTTTAGATGTGGCAACTGCAAGGCTAATTCCACATATGGCTCGAATGGTGTACATTTATTACAACCAGTGTTGAAATAAATTTACATCCAAAGGAATAATAAAATAACGCGAAAAACTGTATTTTTTGTTAATAATTCATAAATTTTTAGTTGAGCCTCCGAGCTACATTGAAGGTGACATGAGTAGAATTTAGTATAGTGTAATAGATTTTTTCCCAAAATTGATCTGTATGAACATACGTATTCATATGCCTTTCTTTCGATTTAATTCCCTTTTGTATGTACTTGAGAATATAAATTTGTATTTATTATATTTCTCTTCTACATTTTCCCTCTATACATGGTTCATACCAGTATTGTTTCTCATTAAACAGATCGTTTATTTTTAAATATGTCCAGTTTTTTCTGTCTATTTAGGCTAATCATCGATAATGACTGTTTAGAATTTAGATTGTCTTAAAATTGCACTTAATTTACATTTGTATGTTTGGGAAATCCTTTTATATGTTACTAATTAAGTGAGTGTCAGATTCTATTGTTACACTAAAATAGGGGACACACTATGATTTCTTCACTGGGTATATGTAAAAGACAAGTGTAATAAAATGGAGAGGGTTCTATGCAGCTTTGTTACTATGACTAGCTGTTTAGCCGAACATTTTGACTCAAGCCAATAATCATGTCCAGTTTCCAGCCAACCCCTCGCCGTATTGTCTTCCTAAAGATTGACTATATCGAGTCGATTCCTCGGCAACGTAGTTTCTTCAATGCTACAAGATTCACTTGTTTCAGGACTGGACAACCTTCACGAGTACCTCAAGTTCTCATATCCTCGCATGAGAGCCCCGTCGTTCATATGTGAGAACGAGACGCGCCAAGGTCTAACGCTGCACTACCGCAGCAAGCGGAGAGGCTTCGTCTACTACACCATGGGGCAGATACGTGAGGTCGCCAGACACTTCTATCATAAGGTATGGAAAGTAAATTTACTTTCCGTAAATTTAATAACAGGTACAATGCTGATCAAGAAGTTAATCATAAGGTGTGTATCTCATTTTAACTGTGTATCTCATTTTACTGTAATGGGTTTTATGGATTGTAACTGTTAAAACCCATATCTTGCAACGTCGAAAATATAGGTTTTTGGCTGGACCTAAAATAAATAATAACCCATATTTATATTAAGATGGACAATTGGATCGGCAACTGGGTTCCGAAATTGTTAATCGTAAGCCATTTAATTGTAAGTTGGAGGGTTTTCTTCATGTTTTCCCTTATTGTCTACGCCTGTGGCATTGTCATATGAGGTACACAAATGTTTTCAGGGCAAGTGGTTCCGACCCATATGTTTTTGAATGTTTATGGAATTGAACCCGCCCCTCTCGTAACGAAGATTGGTACTTGTATAGCAATATATGCATTTAAATATGTAATATTCCACTGATATGAGATCGATTCAGGAACGGAAACCGTTAATAATTATAATCAAAGGAGAAGTAAGTAAGATGGGGTTGACAGAGTGCTTTATACTCTTTGGTGTCGTAATTGCCCTCGGCTTGGTAATTGTAATCTTCAGTGACTAGTATCATCAGCAAGATTAAATGTTTAAGACTTAATATTATCAGCCAGCTAAACGATAGTACCAAAGGCTTGATCCCCATTCCGTGTTAGGTGATTTTTTAGGAAAGAGTATTACCAATTACATTAGAGTGTAAAGTACGAACCCTTAGAAATCTTCCTGCCTTTAATATTTTGAGTGGCATTGGCGTGCTCTATTGTTGTAACAACAAAATGTATTGGCCCACAAGACCAAACGATAAGTTTGTGTCGTGCTTTAACGCATTCAATTAGTCTTAGTACAGCTTAGTACAAAGAAGAAATAAAAAGCTTAATACATTTGCCGTAACTCATGCGAAAGGCAATCTGTTTTAGTGATATTTTCTACGCTGGGAATTTTACAAAGAAAATTAATCCTAACTACAAAAAGTCAAGTATTTGAAAAAATCCATCAACATTCTAGTCGTACAAATGATCTCTTGATCGAATATAACGCAAGAATTCCCATAGCCGCTCAACGTTGCATAAACCGTATGTACTGTAATATTAATAAAATAAAATAAAACATTATAACCCTCTACACCTGTTTTTGCTGAATGATGCACTTCTAAACTTGGGTTAATGTCATTATATAATTTGATATTTTCCACACTCTTGTTAACCATTTATTTATACACTCAAATTTAAGCTTGAAATGATAACCTGAACTGACTTAAGTTCTTACCCGAATAGCTGGATGCTAAGAGTATTACAAAGAATTGTCTTTATTGTACGTAAACTATACGAAAACAAAAAGAAATACCTTCAAAAGTTTTATTTAAGACATTTATCTATAGTTTTCTTAATCCATTCACATTTTTTTCTAATACATTTTAAGTTGTTAAAACCTATTAATTTTCTTTCATTTCTATATGGGTAGTTCATACCTCTAAAGTATTAAATACACTGTAATCATGTAGTTTTAATACAATTGCAAAGCACCGCCACATATGTTTATTGTTAAATCAATTGACAGTTTAAAAAAATAACCATCCCTTTTTTGTTAATAATAAAATTAAATTAGCTGTTGGTTAAAAAAGGTTATTGAAATTAAATAGGATTAAATTAACTCGGAAATCTATATTAGCCAGAAAATAAGTATTTTTATATGACCTTTATGTACATTATAAGCGGATATCCCAGAGTGAAGCGCGATGCAGTAACGATGACGCCTATGTAACGGGATCAGATTAGACTAATGCGCTGCTGATAAAGCATGTTACGTTCAGCTGAAACATTTTGCCTGCATCATCACCCTTATCTTTTAATTGCCTACAAAAACAGTTCAAACTCAGAAGCCTGTGTATCTGTCAAGTGCACACAAACTACATAAACTTTTAGAGCGATTGATTTACGTATTACATAAAAATGGGGAGCATTTTCATTTTGAAATACTCTTGAATCAAATAAGCTAAGATTATGCACAAGATAATGTACTTGCCTTAGATTGCTGCCCTAGTTTTAAATGTTGTAAGCTTTCACAAAACTTAGGTAGAGCTTATGCAAGTGTATATCTGTTATAATCTGGCTGAAATATTTAGGCGGTTTAAGGGGAATTTTACATATATCCCCCTCTCCACTTATTTGTCTAATAGCCTCTCCAGCTGATAACGCTTTGTTAGCAAATGTCAAAACAAATGAGTAATCATTTGTTGATGTTTTTGTGTGGTTTGGTTTCTGTATACTTAAGTAATACAGTGTGATTTGAAATGGCAACTAAAGCTCCAGATATTTCAGTACAGACTAAAAAAATAGTGTTTAGTGTTTATCAAAACCTAAAGGATATAGTTAAGACCCATCCAAATGTTACAGTATTGGAATTATTCTCAAACACACAACAAGCTACTGCAGATGCATGCTCATTGTCACTTCGAAGTATTCAAAGAATTACCGCAGAAGGAAACAAAAATCCTATACATAATAATTGTAGGAACCAATTTCTATCATCTACAAAAAAGAAGCCTCATAAAAAGTGGATTACAGGCCTTGACGGCTTTGACAGAGATGTCGTGCGACGTACTGTATTAGAGTTCTATGATCGAGGAGAATATGTGACCTGTGATAAACTGAAGAATGTTTTAAGAGATAAAATCGGGTTTAGAGGGGGGCGAGACTCTATGCGGAAGGTTTTTAAAAAAATGTGGGTTCACATTTAAGAAGTGTAATGATGGTAGGCGTTTTTTAATGGAAAGAGACGACATAGTAACAGCAAGATTAGAACTCCTCCGAAAAATGCATGACTTAAGAGAAGATCCACTACAGCGGCCTATAGTTTACCTGGATGAAACCTGGATTAACCAAAATCATTCAAAGAAATACATTTGGCAACATTCGTCAAACGAAGGTGGTTTGCGTGTCCCAATCGGTAAAGGTTCGAGATTAATCATTGTTCACGCCGGATCAGCAAAGCACGGTTTCATTGAAGGAGCTGAGCTGGTGTTTCAGTCCAAATGTACAGGTGACTACCACAAGGAAATGAACCACGAAGTTTTCACAGAATGGTTTGTAGATATGTTGAAACTCTTAGATGAGGGGTGTATTGTTGTTATGGACAATGCCAGCTATCACTCAAAACTGAAAGAAAAAATTCCCTCTTCAAAGACTAAAAAAAAGGACATTACAGAATGGCTAACCAGCAAAGGGATACCTCACAACCCGAGACACACTGTCAGAGAATTATTAAACATCGTCAGAAGTCACAGAAAGGAATATAAAAGATTCGAAATCGATGACATTGCTCTGTGGATGGGGCATGAAGTGGTGAGACTTCCCCCGTACCATTGTCAGTACAACCCTATAGAATTGATTTGGTCACAGGTGAAAGGGGAGGTGGCAGAGCAAAACAAAACTTTTAAGATTAAAGATGTGAGAAATTTACTGGAAGAGTCTATTAAACGTGTTACCGTTGAAGATTGGAAAAACTGCGTGCGACACAGTGAGAATATTCAGAAAGAGGACTTTTTAAAGGAAATAGGCATCCGTGATGACAACTTCCAGCGTATCGTAGTTGATCTCCAGAACGACACAACTGACAGCGACAGTACCGATGACATTGATATGGAGAGCACAGACGGAATCGAATTCTAACAATATTGAAAACCGTGGCAATCAAAGGGTTAATATTGATTGTAGAATAATAATGTAAATGTTGTTATAATATACCAACATCAACGACTTTAATGACTAATAATGTTATATTAGAAATTAATTATTTTGTTTAGTTACTATTTTAATTAAATTATTTTTAATACTGCTAATGAAAATATTATTCTAATTTAGCTTTGATAGCTTTTAAATTTGAGCTGTAACCTTTTGATCTTTTAATTTTATTTTTTTAATATTGCTCAAATTGAGCAGTTTACAACGCCGAAAAAATACAGACTCGCTGTAACAAATCTGCGGGATCGCTTTCAAAGCGATCTTTTGAAAACGTAACACTGATTCGCTCACTTATAAATACGTAAGTCCACGGGCTCACTTTTCCAATCCATGAGCAGAAATGAACCTTTGAGCTCGTTATTGGTTGTATAGTGGTGTTTATAGGTGATTATAGCTCGATTGAAAATAGAAAAGTGGATATATATCCACTTTTCTGTCGAGCAGGTAAAAAGAATAAATAACAACTTTTTTTAATGGTGATGGATCTCTATAAGTCTTTAGTTACTCAGTGATCTAGTCACTGGGAGAAAAATGCTCCGTCAGAAACCTAGTACGTCACGGACTCCTTTTGCGTACTGGACGTTTGTGATAGGCGTCATTGCGTCCATTTATTTGTTTGTTAAATTCAAGTTCAGGTTATTTATCTGTATATTTAACCTATATTTTGTTATAAAAAGAGCTATATTTTTTAAGTGTTACAGTAATTTAGTTAGTTTTTTTTATGGTTTTCTTAACTGTGTATGCTATACTAAACAAACTTTTAAATCAAGACGAATTTGATAACATTTTTGGCGTCACATATAATAGCTACAAACACAGATTTCAGTGCCTAAATTTAGAAATTTTAGTATTGAATACCCCCTAGGCCCCCAGGATATAATTTGAAAATCAGCCTTTTCCAATCAAAAAACGTCTAATTCCAACCATGTATAAGGCCTGTATGAATTAGGTAAAAATGACAAATAGAAGTGGTTTGTTTACGTCTTATACATAACAGCAAACAGCTGTCTTGGTCAGTTCCAGTGGAGGGGATAAGAGTTCTTCCCCTTAAACCGCCTAAATATTTCAGCCAGATTATAGTTGCCATGACAGTGCAAAGAAAGTTTCTATGCTTTGTGGTTGACTTGCTTTGTTGACTTCTCAGTTAAGTGATTAGTAACTTACTCTAACACATTGGATGAAACTAAAAGATGATAATTCTAGAAAACTGAGTTAA